GTGCACTTGATCCTCCAGATCGCCCTGTTTACCGAAGAGCTCCCCAAGCTCGCGCCTTCCTCGTTCTTCGTCGACCAGCTCAGCGCCGGCATCCCGCTCCTGCGACTGCTACAGCCACGCCCGCGCGTCATCTTCTATTGCCATTTCCCCGACAAACTACTTGCGAAGAAAGGTGGCCTACTAAAGACATTGTACCGCGGACCCTTCGATTGGCTGGAGAGCTGGAGCACAGGGTGCAGCGACACCATTGTCGTCAACAGCAACTTCACCAAGAGCATCTTTAGCGAGGCTTTCCCCACCCTGAAACATCGCGAGCCTGGCGTCGTATATCCTTGTGTAGACATCAACGCAGGCGGGTCGGTCGAGGAGGTTACCCCGCTGTGGAAGGACAAGAAGGTGCTCCTCAGCATCAACCGTTTCGAGAAGAAGAAGGATGTAGCGCTGGCCATCAGAGCATTTGCCGGGCTATCGCCCAAAGAACGCGAGGATGCGCGGCTTGTAATCGCAGGTGGATATGACCCCAAGGTGGCCGAGAACGTCTCTACATATACCGAGCTATGTGAACTCGCAGACTCTCTCAAGCTGAAGCACGCGACTGCTAAGACTGTCATCACCGCCCAGGCCATCCCTGACGACATCTCGGTCCTCTTCCTCCATTCCGTCCCGAACGCGTTCAAGGCCACGCTACTATCTACCTCGCGCCTTCTCGTATACACCCCACTACATGAACACTTCGGCATCGTACCACTAGAAGCAATGTTAGTAGGCACACCGGTCCTGGCTGCCAACGAGGGCGGGCCCACCGAGACAGTCATCAGCGGGCAGACGGGTTGGCTGCGAGACGTTACCAAAGTGCATGACTGGACCGAAGTTATGCGCATTGCCCTTGAAGATGGCGAGGGCGAAGAACGGCTCAGAGAGATGGGTAAGTGGGGTAGGGAGAGAGTCATCGCCGAGTTCTCGAAAGAGAAGTTGGCTGAACGACTAGAGACGGAAATCAAAAATATGAAATCGAAGAGCATGCGCCCGCCGCTCATGCCATTTGCTGCTGTCATACTGGCTGTAGGCCTGATGGGCGCTCTGGCTGCGGCGAGCATGGTACTAGCTCTGAAACAGTAGATACATGATCTTCAGAGGAAGAATATCATTACATGTCAACTACGTAAACTACTTCTTCGCGGCCTTGACACTGGGCACTTCGTCGTCCTTCTCAAAGATATCCGGCAAAGGCCCAATGGGCGTAATCTGGAACTTGTTGATCTGACCATGGCTCTTTGTGTAATGCTTCTTGATGTGCTCAAAGTCTGTGGTTTTTTTGAAAGCGGGGTAGTCCTGTTCCGCTCCTGTCAGTAAGAGTGGCCGACAATAATCCTCGAAGGAGGGACTGTGAGGCTTAAGGAAAACATACCCAGTATAGATGGCGCATCCACTTGTGAAGGTGCGGATACCCCGATCTGATATCGCGAATATTGCACTTGAAGTGCTGGACATATACGGGATCGAAGCGGATGATCGTGGTGAAAAGCCGGACATCGGCCTCCGTTACGTGCGGGCTCGACAGTAGGTATGGTGTGGAAGACTGGGCCATGGATTCTTCCAGACGATCAAGAGACTTGAAAAGCTGTGTCACGGCCTTTGTGTATGCCTCCTCAGTGCTGCGGTCTCGTTAGTCAATGCTACTCAACATCATGTGAGCGATTTAGTGTAACCTACGTAGCGAATCCTGACTTGTAAACACCGTTGTTCACATCGTTGTACACCCAGTCGTTCATGGCCTCGATGTCCTTCTGGAAGTCCTTGGGGAACAGATCTACCTTCCTGTACTTCTCCTCAACGAGATCGTCAAATTCCGTGTACAGCATCCTTATAATTTCCGCACTCTCATTGCTGACGATCTTCTTGGCCTTCTTGTCGTACAGCGTGGGGACCGTGAAGCGTCCCTCGTAGTCTGGGTTCTGTTCAAAGTAGATGTCACGGAGATGCGTGTATCCTTCATGAAGCGGATCCGGTGTGGTGTTACCCGAGACCTTTTCGCCAGAAGCTGCGAATCGCCAGCCCTTCTCTGCCATGTGCCAGTGGACGCTGTTGTAGGAGATGATGTCCTCGAGGCCCTTGAGGTGGCGCACGATGAGTGTGCGGTGGGCCCAGGGACAGGCGTAGGAGACATAGAGATGGTATCGACCTTTCTCAGGTGGGAATTCGGCATCAGGCTTGTTCTGGATCCAGTTCCTGAAGACGGATGTTTGGCGCTTGAACTCGCCGCTCTTGTCACCAGGTTTAACCTTTTTCTATAGTCAGTATGCTGGTGCAAACCCCAATATGCACTAAAACTGTTTGCAAAGCTGGATAACAACTTCAATATCACTTACCCAGTCAAGGATAGATCCCTTCCCATCCTTAGTATCTTGTTGGGGTGCTTTGTCCATGGCTGCGCGACTTGGAGTAGTGCAAAATGACCGAGTATATCTTATTGAGATTGGAGAACACTTTGTGATTGTCCTGAGTCGCAAAGCGCGTGAGAACATAGAACTGCAATTGGAACTCCCAGAGATGCGTCGCGGCTATATAGCTGTCATTGAAAGCAAGCAGCTGGACGATGGTGGAGACGTCATAGCTTCCTCTGGTTCCGATTTGGTGGGGCGTGGCGTGACAAAGCGCTTCGCGATGGAATTCCGCGTTACTACGATATGAGCAATCACATTGTAGGGTTACCAAGACATTTAGCAAGGCTCGAGATATGGAATAAACAATCACATAGGGAGGAAGACACAGTATTCGGGGGTATCTAGTGTTTTTGCAAGTTCGTCCAAATATATACACGTGTAGGATGCCGTCCAGGAAATCGTTGCGCCTGAGCCGTTGTAAACGCAGTGACCTTCCCAAATTCTCAATGCTACAAACGCCGAGAACTGATCATTGTTCCATGATGCGCCTCAAAGCAGGGCGGCACCAACATTTCCCAATGTCTGCTTCGTCACTTCGTCCCTGACCTGTCCAACCTTCTTCGCCGAGTCGAGAATGGCGCCTTCGATGGCCTTGAGCGCTTCCACCAGCTCACGACGCTGATCACGTGGTGCGCTTCGACTACCGGTCAATTGCTGAGCCTTCTCCACGGTGCCGGCCTCCATCGTTCGCAGGTGGGTCTCGATCTCGCGAATCTGGCGCTGGTAAACGTCTAGAGTACGGCCGAGCTCATCGGTGCGGCGGTTGAAGTAACCCATGAGGTCGACAGGCTTGGTCGGATCGTCATCGTCCAGAGCACTGGTTGCAGGTGTCTTTGCGCTCGACGCTGTGAGGTTGGCGTTGTTGCGGTAGTGGAACTGCGCCGGTAGTCGCTGATTCTCGATAGCACGAAAGCTGAGTGTCGCGTCGTCGGCATCCTTCTTGACGAGACTTTTCAGGTGCGCAATGTTGGCGGAATCGTTGTCCAGGCCGACTTCAACGGTGGAAAGGAACGTCTCGATGTAGGCCACGTCAGGCGCAATGGTGTCAATCTCTTTCTCACTGCCAGGGAGGGCCTCGCGGATCTGGCTGCAGAAGTTGACCTTGCGCTGGATGCCCTCATCGAACTGCTGGATGATGTTTTGCAGTTCGGGGTGCAGGTCGTTGAAACGCGTGGTTCCTCGTATCGAGTCGAGGGTCATCTGAACGGGCTGCGCGCTTGATGCCATCTGGTTCCCTCCCAGAGTAGAGCCACCGAGCGTATTCGACCTGTTCTGTGTGTTCATGCTGCCACCGAACAAAGTATTCTGCTGCTGGGGCTGAGCTTGCTGTTGAGTCGAACCGAAGAGGGAAGGGGCCGATGTTTGATTTTGCTGGGTGGAGGCGTTGTTCCCGAATAAGGAGGGTGTTGTTGTCTGCTGTGTGGACGAGGCGCTAGGACTTTCAGTTAGCTTGTGTCACCGCGAACAGCCACGGTCACTTACAACAGTGATGGCTTCGATTGAGCGCCGCCGAAGAGGCCACCGGATTGGGGTGTGCTTTGGGGCTGGCCCTGTGAAGTTCCGCCTAATGCGCCGCCGAAGAGCCCTCCGCTCTGTGGTTGTGTTGATTGCGCGGTGGATGAGCCGAAGAGCCCTCCGCTCGCAGGCGCCGTTGTCGCAGGCTTGTTCAGGTTGCCAAACAGGCCGCCACTTGCAGGCTGCGAAGTCTGAGCCTGAGCTTGGCCGCCGAAGAGCGAGCCCGACTGTGCTTGTTGCGGTTGCTGGGCAGACCCAAAGAGCCCACCGCTGCTCTGGGGCTGGCTGGCCTGCTGGCCTTGGTTCGCATTGTTGCCACTGGTATCGTCAGTCTAATGCATCGAACAGTCGCAATTGCCATGTAGGCTGAATCGCGTGCACTCGAAATGGTAGTAGCAGAGGCTGCTGCCCCAGAGAGCGCTTGGTACAGAGTGTGGGAAGACGTACAAGAGACCACCACCACCGCCAGTATTGATACTCAGCGAGTTTGATCGCCCAAAGCCCGCCATTCTGTTCCAGTCTCCTTCGTTATTCTGCGTCTAACTCGTCGTCTGTTTGCAATCGTTCACGATGGCTGCGCAGGTGCAAAGTCGCGGCGTGGCTCCACTTTCTCGAGCTGGGAAACTCGAGGAGGTTATAGCGAGCGTTGAAGAACACGACGCGTGGAAATGCGCGTGGTTGACAGTGCAGAAGATGGGTCGGTATGTGAAGGACAATGCCTGCGTCTGTTTGGCGGCGCGCCAGCAACAGCACAGGCCAAAACGCGTGCAGTCTACTCGGCTAATCATTCCCTCATCCAGCAACTCAAAGAAGCTCACGTTCACTACCACAGGCTTCGTCACTACAAAAGCCGTATAGCAAGCGGATCCCACACGCGAATTGCGTGGCAACTCAAACACTCGCAAAAAGACGAAACAGAGGCTTGAGCGAGCGCGAGCAATTGTGCAGGCACTAGAAAGAGTTGGATACACAGTAATCCCTTGGGAGGGCTCACTTACTACGGGCGCGCCATTTAGCTGGTGGACCGGAAAGAACGACACCATGGCAGACGAATCCGACGACGATCTCTATGGCGACGAGACAGCCGCGCAGCAGACCAACGAGGCAAAAAAAGAGGATGACAACTCCAGCGGTGATGAGCCAATGGACGAAGAGTCAGGCGATGAAGAAGACAGCGACTCGGTATGCCGCACAAGAACCCCACAAAGAGCTTGCGCCAGTTCTAACGAAGCTGTAGGACATCGACATCATAATCGAGAAGGCGCCAGCACCCGCCAAACCCACAGCGTAAGCTTCTATTGAGCTCCGAGCCTCAGATTTCTGCCGTCACTACAGCTACTGACATGTCCGTCCAGCGCGCAAGCACCCCAAGAATCCAAAGCCATAAAGATCGAAGCACCGCCCACCTCTTCGACCACGCCCTCGCAACAAGTACCCCCAAAGACCGTTCCCACAACCGGCGGCACTGTCCCTCAACTGTCCGCCTCAGCCCTCTCAGGCACCGCCTTCCCTGCGCAACGCACCTCGACCATCGATGTCAATGGGAACCCCGTCTACCCACCACAAGGCAAAGAGATTCTTAGCGTAGACATCGATGCCGACCTAGCGGAAGAGCAAAAGATCTGGCGCCGACCCGGTGAGGACCAGTCAGACTACTTCAACTACGGCTTCGACGAGTTCACGTGGGAGTTGTATCGCCAAAGACAAGTCAGTATGGCCAACACACTGCAGGGTCAGAAGAACGACATGGCACAAATGCAGGCGATGATGGGTGGTGCGCCGATGCCTGGTATGCCTGGAATGCCTGGCATGGGCGGTGGTCCGCAGGGTAACGGAGGGCCGGGTGGTGCGCCGCCGACAGGCCCGGGAGGAGGAGGAGGCGGTGGTGGTGGCGGCGGCGGCGGTGCTATGGGACCTGGAGGCATGAACGAACAGCAAATGCAGATGATGATGCAAGAGATGATGCAGCAAGGCATGGATCCCAGTCAGATGGACTTTGCGTCCTTTATGCAGATGGCAGGTCAGGGCATGGGTGGCTTCCCCGGTGGACCTGGAGGTCAGCAAGGCGGAGGTTTCCAGCAGGGTCATCAAGGCGGTGGTGGCAGAGGAGGACGCGGTGGCAGGGGAAGAGGGTGGTAACCAAGAAGCCATCAGGACATGTCTCGTCGGGACGGCAGGATAATGTAGGCTCGAGATACGATGGTACACGGCATCACGGCGTTCTGAGTATATTACTACGATACCATGGGTGGGAAACGCCTTCTGGCGCAAAGCAGTCTGTTTCAATTCTTACAGATCAATCTACTTCCGACTCAAGCGCTTCAGTGCCGTGCTCTGATCACTCTTATGGTATCACCAGGCCTTCCCTATAACCATTGCACGTTGGCGCGTTCCTTCGAAGCCTCATGCAGTGCGTGCAGAATCCTCCCGTGCGTTACTGTGCTTGCGTGCCCTTTCTTCCTCATGCACGCGCAGCGCTTTGCACAGTTGTGACATGTGGTACCCATATCATGCGTGCGTTTTCATCCTCGTCAAGATTTCAGGACAGTACAGCGCCTATGTCTCCATGGGTTCTCCTCCCTCGAGGATATGTGCTGGTATCCGACCTTCCGCAAAGTCCTTCTCCAGCCTCGCCATCTCGGCCAAGCTGCTTGCATTGAGGATGGCAGCGCGCATGCGCTTCTTCTCTTCGTCGGTGTAGATGCGCTCTTTGCCCGAGTCGGCACCGTTCGCGTACGAGGGGACGACGAAGCCCTTGGACTTGTTGCTCGAGATCTGGGGGAAGTTAATCAGATAGAACATGAAGACGGTCGTGGTACGAACCTGGTTTGCAAGTTCTGTAGGCTCCTCGACAGTTCCGAACAGTTCCTTGGCCTTCTTTCGCTCAATATCCCGCACCTTGCTGAAGTCTAGGAAGCGCACAGTCGGACAGCGCCAGATGACCCAATACCGGTAGTTCTATGTCATGTTAGCATGCTGCGCATAATAGCCTCCGTCATGCGATCCTGAGCCGGCCAAATCGCAACGAGTGGCTCACCCTGCACCGTTTCTGATCCTCAGGCTCAAGTTTGCTTGCACCATTAGGCTCAAACGTTCATGGCTCAACAAGGTCAGGCACATACCTCTTTGCTTGTGACAGGGTTCCCCATCAATGACAGGTATACCAGTTGCTTGAAACCCGCCAGCGGATCCAAGTCGGCCAGCTCCGCGATCCTGTTCTTGGTAAGGACCAGTGTGCGCAGGTTTGGTATGCTCGACGAGAGGTTGGGTTGGATGTTGGAGATGCGGTTTTGGGCGAGGAAGAGCGTTCGGAGACGAGGTTGAAGAGGGAAGTTGCCGAGCTGTGCGATGTCGTTGTCGGTGAGATCTATGGCGTCGTTGTCCTGTCATGTTGTCAGTATAGCGATCCATGTTCGGAGCAATGATGCAACTTACTCGCGCTGCTCCCATGTTCTCAATCGCGGAAATCTTGTGACCTAGATTATACGATATTGATATCAACTCAGCTCTCAAGTGTAGCATCTGCTCTTTTCAACGCACCTCGCAGATCGAGTTCACGCTCCGTGAGACAGTTGATGAAGGACAGGGAATTGTTGATGAGGTCTGTTGTTAACCTCATGGTGGCGGTAGTCCGTGGTGTATACTGGCTTAAGTAAGTGGTTTAAGGTATGCGCCGCGAGCCAGAGTATCGTTGAGTATCTTGCGCGGAGTTGCCAAAGTTGGTCGCGTAGCTAGAGCTCCATCTCTTGAAATTCATAGAGCGCCAAGACCTTCCCCGCTAGCGTCACACTCACTTGCTCGTCGCCTGGGCACGTGCCTACACCTTCCTCTACAATCTTCTAAGGTTGCTACTTAGGTAGGAGAGCACCGCAATTCCATGCTTCAATAACACTGTCTGTTTGTCATCTCTGTGGGGAAGATCGTAATTGGGCAGAATTACGGCATGTACGAACTCCCAGAAATCCAACACCGCTTCAAGCTCCCAGAGAAACAACCCAGTCCCTAACAAAAGAAAACGACATCCTCTTATCACAGCTTGAACAATTTTCCAATATCCGAGGTTGTACAGTCTGCTCCTATCACTCATCCACCCATGCTGCTGCTGTCTACAGTCCTTGAAGCCTTCTACCGCTAACACATTAGCCACATCTCGATATCACACAAGGCTGGACTATGAAATCAGCAGCCACGTTGCCTAATCTTATCTCTTTGGGAACCGGTGAGGAGACCGTCTCTCTCTACTATCTCACTGTCAATATGCATTTTCTTCTTCTCATCCATTGGCTATTCCCTGCCGCCCCGTCTGCGATTGGGCCGTCTCATCCGGTGAACCTGCACGGCATCAAGACCACTCGTGTATGCAGCCTGGTGGTTGTAATTTTTTCAAAAGGCTGTATCATGATATAGTTTCGCTGCCCGAAACCACCTTCTTTCTGATCTAGTTTTCCACATTTCGAGTCGATTCAACATGCCGCTATGCTGGTGCGGCGAACGAGCCAGAGGCACTGGAACCCGATGCGAGCGACATCGACACACATACAACTACAACAGTGATTCCACAGATATCAGTAGCGTACGTCGTCACATTGGCACACGCGCTCGTCATCCTCGCGCTCATTTTGCCGACGACATCAACCCACACGCGCGTTATGATCCTAGCCAGGCTCTCATGCCTTATACAAATCATGACAATGGCTACATCTCCACCGCACAATCGAATGGTCTAGCACATTCTGTTGTTCAAGTTCTTGAGACCTCGAGCCACACCCATGCCATCGCAATGGCAGAGTTTTCAATCACACCATCTACGGGCACATACTCTTTTTCAGCCAGGGCAAATCTCGAACGCGAACAGTGCACCGTCTGTCTTCAATGGTTCCCCAATGGCTACAAGCTCGAATGCCATCAACAGGAGTTCCCGATCGGTTGCGAGGAGTGTAGGATCTGTCTGAGGCGCGACAACATCGCATGGCATGCCGACACTGAAAAACACAACCGATGTTTCGTGAGAGGGTGTGAGAGTGACTACAGAAGGTTTGGAAATTGGAAAAGTCGCTTTGTGGAGAGGCACGTTAAAGATACGCATTATCGGGGCTTTTAGATGTGAAAGGGCAGACAAAGTCATCGCTGGGTAGGGCATCACTGAAGAAAACGTTGAGCTTGGAAGATCACGACTAAGCGCGTGGACGATGGTTCTGGGCTGATAGGGCTTTATGTACTTCACCTGTATTTCCATTTGACTGCTACATGACTGTTTGTATCAGCAATATTGGCGTAGCAATGATGACACCCTGATATAGAGAATGTAGTGACGGCCTTTTCGGGATTTTGCACTGTCATCTAGCCGCATGGGTCTGCTTGTCCTCGCGGACCGGAGTCAGACATTCCATAAAGCAGAGACGAAGTCGTGCCGGCGGCTAGGCGGTGTGAGCTGGAGCGGTGGTTTCCGCGCCTACACAAGTCAGCTAGTAACATGGTTAAACGGCGTGGGTTGGAGCTGGAGTTGTAATTGACTTGGTTGAACTGAAAGAGTGTAGCTTGACAGTCTCGTGATGGCTATCCGAGTTGAGGCGATGCTACCCAGTACGACAGGCGGTGTGGATCATCTGAGACATGTCGACATTTGGCTCGGGGCCTCTGGTTGCGCCCTAAACGCCCGTTATTACTTGGTTGGATTCAAGAGCGTCGGGATCTCCTAGATCGCCTCACTATGCACCTATATCTATACGGATAGATTCCACGATCGTCACCCGATACCGGCGGGGAATCCAGCAGTAGAAGGAGGCTCGGAACGTCGCGTCACGTTGTTCCGAAGACACCAACATGTGTCGATCTCTTCCCAGCTGGACAAATGACGCGTATCGCGGAAGGCGGACATCATACCACTGTGATGGAAACCAGAAGAATGCTTTGGATATAGAAGCATCTGGTCAAGTATAGATGTATAGAAATAGCAATTGCACTGCATGAGCATAATCAGTACACGGGCAGGTGAGTGGCCATCTTGAGATGTCTGAATGTGTTAGCAACACCAAGATCCCCCAATGCACATGCACATACGCGGGCACGGTTACACGATCTCGATAAGAGCCCGTTGGTTGTCCAGTAAGGCAGTGTTGACAGAGATTACCGTTTGCTGGGCAATTTCATGTCCCAATAGGAAAGCAAGGCAAGTCCCTTCCGCCCCGACGACAATGGCCCGCGGAGGTGGTCCGACGCGGAGCAAGTTGTTGATATCGAAAGTGCGGGTTGGCGTGCGTCAGCCTGTCAAAGCGAGGCGGCGGATTGCACCAGGACGGTTTAGAAAGACGTGCATGCCGTGATCTGGGGTACCCCGGGAGATCCGCAGCCACAGGCGCTGATGGCCGTCGGCGGACGTGTAGCACTGTGATGACGGAGGACGATGGAGCTCTTTCTCTCGCCTGAAACCTATCACCGCGGCGAAGTGAGGGCTGGCTGTCCCACTTGGGGGACGTGTGATGTCGAGGAATGTTGGGTGGGCCCGTGGTGGAGGGGTGACGTGCAGCGGTGATGTGCGTCGTGAGTCGATCCTTTCACGATAGTAGCAGAAGCCGCTCACCGCCCTTCTATAACTAAGCAGCGGCCGCTCTGCACTAGGCTACGCGCGCTCCCCTCACTAACACGGCCCACGCGACACGCTTCTCTTTGTTGTCGCAGCCCTCATTGCCCCGCATCACCTGTAGCAGTGCAGTGGAATTACTACCTAGAAGACTGCCATGGGTCAACCAGCACGCCGCACTGCTCGAGCCCGCCATAATATCGACGCCTCACCCTCCCACTCCTAAGACTGGGCGCGCTTCCATGGCGGAATGCGCCCTCTCGACATGATCGGACACCTCTTCAGCAGCCGCAAAGGCTCCAGCGCCGCCCACGCGCCGCCGCCGACGGTGCTCGACTCGGCGACCGAGGAGAGCCACACGCGCCATCTGCTGTACCCCGAGACCAGCACCCTCTACCACCCCGAGGGCCAGCCCTACCCTCTGCACGCCGCGCCCCTGACGCCCGGCAGCGCCCACGACGGGCCTCTGCCGGAGATCGACCTCGACTACCCGCGCGACTGCCGCATCATCATCGCCCAGGATGAGACGCCCCAAATGCCCAAGGCCATCCTGTTCGAC